AAGACTACGCTGAAGTGAGCTCCTATCAATACCAGTCTTGTCTTCCTGGAATCCCAATTCCATACCATTTCCCAGTTACCTTAACTGTATTGTATTGTTTTTCTTGAAATATTTATCCAAATAATACTTATTCAGTGTATAAATGAATGTACTGTGTATTGTAAAGATGAATTGAAATAAAGAGCCTGATATCTGAGTATGTGTAACTGCGTGTGTGTGTGTCTCTCTCTCCTCATACTTACTCGGATCACATCTCTTCCCCTCATGCTGCAGCTAGAGTAAAGGTTAGATTGTGTGCATAAAAACATAGCAGCCCGTCTCTGCATCTGCAGCCAAGTCCAGGATTATCTGGTGTACATAGCAGTGTTTGATTGTACTTTTGAATCTCAATGGTCATTTAAACACACTTCAGATTCAGTCAAGCTGCAGAAGATACATAACAACAACCACTTATACTTATATATCGTTCTTCCAGTGGGTAGGGTATTGCATCCTTAACAGTGGCAGAACTTGACGCCAAGCTGGGGAGAGGGGGAGGTGGCCGTAAGCACAGTCAAAGAGGAAGGTGTTCAGGTTTGATCTGAAGATGAGAGAAGAAGGAAGAGGCAAGGCTCAGGGATTGAGACAGAGCCTCACACCTTGTGAAGGGGCAGTATTGCTGCATTGATATGTTCCTGGCATTGGTCATATTACAATTTTAACTTGCAAGTGAAAGTTGCTGTGAGTTTCAAATCATCTGTTAGGCTGACTTGATTTCCCAGACAATCATAGAATCATAGAATCATACAGCACAGAAAGAGGCCATTCGGTCCATCGTGTCTGCGCTGGCTCCGAATAGAGCGATCCAACTCAATCCCACTGGCCCACTTTCTCTCCATAGCCCTGCAATCTTGTCCTCCCCAAATATCCATCTATTTCTCTGTTAAAAGTTGTTATTGAATTGACTTCCACTACCCTTTCAGGTAATGCATTTCAGATTGAAAAAACTCACTGGGTGAAATTCTTTTTCCTAACCTCCCCTCTGTTTCTTTTGACAACTAACTTTAATCAGTGTCCTCGGGTTACTGACCCACATGCCAGTGGAAACAGTTTTTCCCGGTTCAACCTATCAAATCCTCTCATGATCTTGAAAACCTCTATTAAATCCCCCTTGATCTTCTCTGCTTCAGGGAGAATAATCCTAGTTTTGCTAACATCTCCTCATAACTAAGGTCCTTCATTCCTGGTGCCATCCTGGTAAACCTCCTTTGCACCCTCTCCAATGCTCTTAACATCTTTCCTAAAGTGCAGTGCCCAGAACTGAATGCAGTACTCCAACTGAGGCCTAACCAGCATTTTATAAATATTTAACATAACCTCCTGACTTTTGAATTCTATGCCCCTATTTATAAAACCTAGTATCCCGTATGCTTTTTTAACAGCTTTATCTACCTGTCCTGCCACCTTCAGAGATTTGGTTATGTGGATCCCCAGGTCTCTCTGTTCATTTGCCCCCTTTAAGGTTGTACCATCTAGCTTATACTGTCTCTCCTCATTCTTCCTATCAAAGTGCAACACTTTGCATTTCTCCACATTAAACCTCATCTGCCATGTTTCTGCCCATTTTACCAATCTGTCTAAGTCCTCTTGGAATCTGATACTATCCTACTCACCCCAACCAACCTCTGTGACCTCCTAACCCCCTACCAACCCGCCCGTTCCCTCCGCTCAGCCAGCTAGTCTTCTGTTGACTGTCCTTTATTAAACCATATTTTTCTAAGTGAGAATTTATATTGTCCCGGATTATTGTCTTCAGAAGTTTCCCTACTACTGATGTTAGGCTGATTGGCCTGTAGTTCTCAGGTTTATCCTTCTGCCCCTTTTTGTACAGAGGAGTAACATTTGCAACCTACCAGTCCTCTGGCACCACTCCAGTGTCCAAAGAGGATTGAAAGATGGTGGCCAGAGCCTCTGCTATTTCCACCCTTGCTTCCCTCAGTAACCTAGGATGCATCCCGTCCAGACCAGGTAACTTATCTATGTTGAGCACCGACAGCCTTTTTAGTACCTCCTCTCTGTTGATTTTTATCATATCCAATTTCTGTTCACATGCCTGTAATATTGTGGCATTGGTTGCATCGTCTTCTTTTGTGAAGACAGTTGCAAAGTACTTATTTAGTACATCAGCCATGCCCTCTGCCTCAACAAGAAGATTTCCACTTGTTCGTAATACATCAGAAAAAAATGAATTCACAATCATAGTATCATAGAAGGAGGCCATTCGGCCCATTGTGTCTGTGCTGGGGGGCACAGCTGTCTCTCTCTGATATAACTGTTGACAGATGTCGCATAACTATCAAATAACATATTTGGGTCCCCCGATCACTTAGAGGGTAAAAAGACCCTCTGGTTCAACATGAAGCCACAAAGACTAGGTCAAAGTTGAATGTTGGTTTGTGATGAGTTGCAATTGCTAAATAATCAAGTCAATTTTTACATTATATATATATATACAAATAAGCTGTACTACATAACACATAATTCCTGCAATCATGATAATTCCCTTTAAATTATAATACAATAAAATACTTGCATTTGATATAGCTTCTCAACACGTCGCTGAGGCATCTCAAAGAGCTTCACAGGATATTTCTGTGTAGTGACTATGCATTAGTAGATGAACGTGGCAGCCAATTTCCACACAGTGTTGACCCACAAATAGCCATGAAGAGAATGACCAACTTTATTTGGGGATTTCCTGGCCTGAGCAGAATTTAGTCTTATTATAGAAATTAATTTCCTAATTGTTCACATCTCTCCTGCATGCAATATGATCCACCTTAAGAGGTTCTGCTTCTTACGGCCCAGTTAGTGAACCTTTCCGTGTCACTGCATACCAGCTTCTAAGATGGCAATTACACATTAACATGGCCACGTGATACCAGTGCCATGGCAATGCATTTCACTCATTCCTCTCTCAAGACTAAAGTTCAAACAAGGGTTGATGACTTGGCTGTGGAAACTGGACTTTCCCAGAATAAAGCAGCAGATTAAACAGATTAAATAGATTTTGAACAGATTAAAAAGAACCCCCCCTATAAAAAGGATATCCACCCTAACAAAAAGCAACATAAATGAACCACCATTGGAACTGCAACTTATTTCATTACAGTAGTAAAAGGGGGCAAATGTGTGTAATACAATTTAGCATCTTATATTCCTCTCTAAGGTAAAACATCTTTGAGCCTCAGCTAACAATTCTTTAGGAATCTCAATCCAAATGAATTAAATAATATTAATAATAATTATTGATAATCGTACCTTCCATTTTGGGAGGCTATCTCATATGCTTCACAGGATTTTAAAGTAAAGTGTAGTGACTGCGCATTTAACAGGCAAGCGCGGCAGCCAATTTGCACACAGCAATGTCCCGCAAACATTCATGAAATGAATGATCAATTTTTTTCAGGGGTTTCTTGGCTAGGACACTGGAAGAAACTCCTTGTACCTTAAATTGCTTGACTCCAGCAGATAGAGGTTGATCTACTAGTTTTTTGAATCACTGTGCTTTTATTTTGCACACTGATCATTTATAGCAAGTAATGGAAAATTTTCAGCTTACTGTTAACAAACTTACTGGCTGAATATAGGTGGTCACTGGGTGGATTCAGAAACATTCCAGGAAAGTCACACTCCCTTGTAATGCACAGACTTTACGTCACAGACAGGTTTTACAGGGCTCAAACAAGACACTCTTTGTGGACAGAATGTGATCTGTACCAAAACTATCAGTATGAAACATCCTAACAATAAGTCGCAAATCATCACAAAAACAGTAATAGCTAAAAACATTTTATGCAAATATTACTATTTTAAAAAATACATGGGTCAAAAATGTTTGTATTCCTAATGGCACTCTATGAATTAAATAAGGAACAACATTAATTAATAATAATAAATGTGTTTTGATATTTTCCACCCCAACCTATTAATAATGGTAACATCTAAATCTACCTGGATTTACACTTAGTGTGGCCACAGTCTTTAAATCAGGAATAATCTTTCAGGCTACAGGATATTGATCTTTGTAGCTCAGATGCAAAAGCAGGTTTACATTTTTTCCGGTTTTGTCTCTTTCACTGTGGTTTGATTATGCATGTGTCACTGTCTCACACCTATAGAGTCCGAGTGGTCAAGCATCACAATGCTGTCACCTATTGTAAACACATTGTTTGGTTCTCGAGAAACATCATTCTTATCCAAAAAGCACACGGCTATAGTTTCTGTCAGGGTCACTGGCTGATTTTAATTTCTCCTTCCCAAACCCAAAGCACCAAGGGCTCTACTATCCCCAACTGATCAGCCAGGTCAGCACAGATGAGGAATCAATCATAAGATGCCCCTACACTGTATGACTGTGTACTAAACCATGTGGTGCATTTACATACTGAGTGAATGTCCCTTCATGCCCTTGCACCTCCTACCTGTCCAACCTGCTTACCCCACATTCCACCACCCACTGCCTCCTGTTTGTCCCTCGTGCCCTCCGTTCCACCATTGGTGGCCGTGTGTTCAGCCACTATATCCTAAAACTCTGGAACTCTCTCCCTCAGTCCCTCTGCCTTGACCCCTCCCTCTCCATGTTCAAATACCGTCTAAGACCTCCCTTTTTGATCGTGCTTACATTCACCTCCCCCTCCCTCTAGCTTGGGGTCACACTCCGCCACTGTAAAGCGCTCCAGGACACTATCCAGCAAAAAGGGCACCATATAAATGCAAGTTGTTGTTGAATATGTGAGCACCCAAAATAGCTATGTAGTAATATTGTACCATTAATTATCAGCACCTTTTGTAACCACAGAGCAATGTACACAGCAAGCTATGGAGACCAGCAATGAACTCTCATTTCTATCCCATTGTATAAAGTGCGACTGAAAATAAAATCTCACCCAGTCAACAACTCTAATATATCCAACCACTCATCTTTAAAATCCTGCAAGGAACAGCAAACACACAGATTGTTGCATTAGAAACAAAGTAAGAGAATCATTTATTAAATAATATAACAATTTCATACTCCAAAAACACACACCCAAAATGAAACATATACCTGACTCTTCTCAACTAATCTGACTGGAAAGACAGTTAAAGGCCAAATGGGTATTAAAGTGGCCGCACTACTATAGCCGACTTTGATACTCAAATTTGCTTTGTTTCACCCTATAGTCAGTCAGTTTATCGTCAAGTAGCATATTCAGCCTTATTGATTTTAAACAAGTACCATTGTTTGCAAACTAAGTTTACTTCAAGAAACGTGTCAAATGAAAACAGCGCTTTCTGAGCCATTTGACTATAAGTGTGTTATATATTCAGTAGGAGACCATGTGCAGCAAGTTAAATTCCTCAGGTATAAAGGTGCACCCAAAGCAGCATTTTCAAGCTGGGCTCTTGAAGCAAAGTATGCTTTGGCTTTCACTCTTGTTGAAAACAGATCTAATGAGCACTGTCCACTGCCTAAAGATCGTCATTCTTGGAAAGGCATCCAGATGTGGCAATAGGAAGTCCAGGACTGCTGACGTGCAGTCCATTCAAATCACCAGTTTATGTAGTGAAATCCTTTTCTACTTCAAAACACACTGTTTTACAGTCCTTACAGTGAGCAGTATTTCATGAGTCAACATCGGTGAAGTACAAATAGCATAAGTTTTAGCAACCGTTAAGATTCCTTTAAAACTTAATAAGTTTATTTGTATTTTTTTAAGAGAAATTGATGTAAATCTTATTAAATGTAATATACCGTGTTTAAGGTCATCTTCTGGGACATCTCCACACACCCATATGGTTACAGGGTCTGATAGCAACCCTGACCTGCCAATAGCTCCACCGGTCTTGTGTGCAGGGGCCTGGGATTTCTCAGGCATGTGCATTTGAGACTCAGTTAAACAGTGGGAAATGGCAGCCAATGTAGTATCCAATGCATGGTTCCTGATGCCATCTAGCTCACACTATTCCAGGTAGGAAAATGTGAGGCTTTGTTTACATTCTGGAACTCATAATTTAAAGCCACTTCTAGCGCCCAGGCAAACTCCAGATCCCTGATTCCATGCAAACTCTGAACTAACATAATTGTGTTTTGGGGGTAGTGGGGTGGTGGGAGAATGGGGTCTATTAAAATCTAGGTATGGTGTCAACCATATTTCACAGGCCCCAAGGAGCTCAGTCTGGGCAGCAAACTCTTCGGTTTACAGGGCTTCTGGAGGGTTGCAGGTATCTCGGAGAAAGTCCTGTGAGGAACAAAGGACAAATGGAACGTAAGATGATGAGAAGTGGCTGTGTTCCTAGAACTCTTAGGGAAACTCTAGCCATTTTATCACAAGGTAAAATAATACAGCAAGATGTCACTCGCATCAATGCTCCACCAGAATAAATCAAAATGTGAACGAGAATCCATGATTCCGTGTTTTCATACACATATTTTAAAAGCACTTGTGGCTGAGGAAAACATTTTTCATCCTGTCCTCTCAGTTCAGATACATGGGCCGTAAGGCTTTAAGGTGTAAATCAATGATCAAATCTGGATAATGACCAATTATTGACTGTCCTCCTGGATTGGTTGTGGCTGGGGGTTGGGGGGGGATGGAATCAGGATCTCCTTTGGAACTGAACTGGCTCCAAGGTTCTGAGCTCGGCAATGCAATGTCAGAATCGAGTCAACAACAACAACAACAACAAGATTGCATTTATAGAGAGGACCTTCCACGTCGGGAGGACGTCCCAAGGCGCTGTACAGTTGGGTCGGGACCTGAGCAGAGGGGAAATGGTCAGGGTGAGGGGAGGGAAGGGAGGGAGCGAGGAGGGGGTAGAGAGTCGAGAGGGGAGCTGAAGGCACGGTCGAAGAGAAAGGTCTTGAGACCGGCCTTGAAGGAGGAAAGGGAGGAGGCGGCGAAGGTACTGGGGCATAGAGTTCCAGAGTCTGGGGCTGAGAGGCTGAAGGCCCGACCACCGATGGTAGGGCGGTTGGGGCGGGGGATGTGGAGCAGACTGGAGCCAGAGGAACGGAGGGTACGGGCGGGTAGGTAGGGGGATAGTAGGTCGGAGAGGTAGGAGGGAGCAAGGCCGTGAATGGCCTTGTAGGTGAGGATGAGGATCTTGAATTCGATCCTCTGGGGGATGGGGAGCCAGTGGAGGCGAGCGAGGGTGGGAGTGATGTGGTCGCGAAGCCTGGTGCGGGACAGTACACGAGCTGCAGAGTTCTGAATGACCTGCAGTGTGGAGGGAGGTGCCGGGAAGGCCGGCGAGGAGAGAGTTCCCGTAGTCCAGCCTTGAGGTGATAAAGGCGTGGACCAGAGTTTCAGCAGCGTGAGGGGTGAGGTAGTGCCGTAGTCTGGCGATATTCCGGAGGTGATGGAAGGCGGTGCCAGTTGTGGTGCGGATATGAGGGAGAAAGGACAGCTCAGGGTCGAACAGAACCCGAGGTTCCTGATGGCTTTGAGAGGTGGAGAGTGCAGCCTTGGATGCTGATGCTGTCAGTGCCTGAGGTGCGGAGGCGCTGACGTGAGCCAATCAGGAGGGCCTCAGTTTTACGCACGTTGAGCTGAAGAAAGTTGTCTCTCGTCCAGGACTCGATGTCGGACAGGCAGCTGTCAGGACATCGGTGGTCGTGGAGTTGAGAGTAGAGGAGGAAAGGTAGAGTTGCGTGTCATCCGCATACATGTGGAAGTTAACTTAAATTAAATTAAATTGGTCATTTTCAATCTACGACTGTTTGTGGGACATTGCTGTGCGCAATTGGCTGCCGCGTTCGCCCACAAATATACAGTCAATTCACTTTACAGTGTGTTCTGTGAAGCGCTTTGGGATGTCCTCCCGACGTGAAAAGCACTATATCAAATGCAAGGATTATTATTATTATTATTATTAACCCCATGTCTGCGGATGATGTCACCATGGGGGAGCATATAGAGGGTGAAGAGAAGGGGACCGAGGATAGAGCCCTGAGGGGCACCGCACGAGACAGTGCGGGGGCTGGAGGAAAAGCCGTTCGTGGAAACAAAATGAAGACGGTGGGAGAGGTACGACCTAAACCACTCAAGGACAGGGCCTTGAAGGTTGAGGTGGGAGGACAAGTGGTGGAGGAGGATAGCATGGTCGACCGTATCGAATGCTGCCGAGTGGGACAGGTTGACGATGTCTGTGATATGTGGGGCAAGGAGGTGGAGCTGGGAGATAAGGAGTGGAGTGGGGATGGGGTCAAGGGAGCAGGTGGTGGGTTTCAGGGATAGGATGAGTTTGGTGACAGAGGGTGGGGAAACGGGTACGAAAGTGTGTAGGGGAGGATGGGTAGGAGTCGGAGTGTGGGAGGGAGGGGGTGGGGGGTGGGTGGATGTTGGAGGGGAAGTGACCGCGGAGCGAATTCCCTTGATTTTGGATTCAAGGAAATCCAGCATCTCCTCGCAGTGAAGGTTGGAGGAGATGACCTGTGCGGGGTGGCGGGGGGGACGGAGGAGTCGGGATGTGGTAGAAAACAGTAGCCTGGGGTTGTTCTTCGCCTCCAGGATTATCCTGGAGTAGAAGGACGACTTGGCCGAGGCTAGAGTGGAGCGGGAGATTTTGAGGAGGTCCAGCCAGATTTGTCGGTGGACCGTTAGGCCAGATTTGACTCAGGTGCGTTCAGCGGCCCGCACCTGGCTCTTCAGTGAGTGGAGGTGGGTGGTGAACCAAGGGGAGGAGCAAGAGTAGGAGACAGTGCGGGAGGTGATGGGGGCAAGAGTGTCGAGTGTGGAGGAGAGCGTTTTGTGGAGGAGGGTGAGAGGAGAAGAGGGGTCAGTGAGGGTTGAAGGCCAGAGGGAGAGGAGTTCAGAGGACTCCAAGGCAGCGGTTAGGGATTTTGGGGGTAACTTCTTCCAGGGGCGGTAGAAGATGGTGGTGGGTCTGGTGGAGGTGGGGAGGGGGGTGGAGGTGGTGAAGGAGATGAAGTGGTGGTCGGAGACGGCCTTGTCGGTGATAGTGACATCCGAGACACTGAGGCCCCGGGTGATCACCAAGTCGAGTGGGTGGCCGTGACTGTGAGTGGGGGAGTTGATGTGGAGGGAAAGGTTGAGCGAGGAGAGCAGGGAAGAGATGTCTGAAGAAATGGAGCAGGAGGGGGTGAAGTGCAGGTTGAAGTCGCCCAGGATGATGAGGCGATCAGAGCAGAGGCAGAGAGATGTAAGAAGTGTCGAAATATCAGAGATGAAGGTGGGAGAGGTTTTAGGGGGCCGGTAGAGGAGGAGGATTTTGAGTGAGAGGAAGGAGGGGTGGGAGAGGGTGAGGTGCTCGAAAGAGGGGAAAGAGCCAGAGGAGTAGGGGGATAGGGCAAGTGGTGTCCTTGAGATAAGGGCTACACCAACGCCATGACGGTTGGGGCGAGGGATGTGGTGGAGGGTGTAGCCGGGTGGTGTAGCCTCCGTGAGGGGGAAGGTGTCGCCTGGGGTGAGCCAGGTTTCCGTTAAGGCCATGATGTCAACGCTCTCATCAAGGATGAGATCGTTGATGACCAGGGCCTTGTTACAGAGGGAGCGGACGTTTTGTAGTCCGATGTGGAGGGAGCGGTTGACAGAAGGGTGTGTGGGGGGGGAGGGGGTTCCAGGTTGTGAGGCAGGGGTGGGGGAAATGGGGATGAGGGAGGAGAGGTTGGCTCCCCGGGTCTGTGTCCGGGGTGGCTGGCGAGTGTGGTGGGGAATGGGGCAGTCGGTGTGGCTGCTGCTGGACAGCCAACGCCGAGTGCCACGGTGAGCCCGGCGGAGGATTCCCAGGCTGGAACAGAGGGAGGTTGTGGGACGGTCAAGTGGGGATAGAAGGCGAGAGGGATGGAGAGAGAGGAGGACAGAGCGGGAGAGATGCAGAAGGGGAGGGTTTGGGCGTAGAGAGGAGGGAGGAGGGAGGGAGGGGGTGGGGGGGCTCGGGTCAAAGCGGCAGCCATAGTGCGCACGGGGGGACCGGGAGCGAGCGGTCAGGTGGATGGCATTATCCCATAGGCTGGGGCAGCCAACCCAACAGGACCATGGTGGGCCCTGATGTGAACCCTGGTGGGGAGGGGCGCAGAGGGTTGTTTTTTTTCGAAAGGGAAGATCAACTGCAAACTCTTCCCACTCAGCTCCTGTTAACCTTACAAGCCAAAGCCCCAAAGGTGGTCCTAGCTGGACAAGCAGCATGGAAACTTGCCAGACAGTGCTTTCAATAGCAAGCTATGCGATTTTAGCTGGTTAGACTCCAGCACACACTGTGAGGTGTCCCAAGCCTTGACTCTTGCCAACCTGCAGCTGTTTTTTGCTGGACTTAGGTAAACAAGGTGCATCCCTCCAGGGAGAGAGTGTGTATTCCATAGGGGTTTCAGGATGCACGTGCACCATCACAGATGTGAAATAAAATTAGTAAATTTAAAAATGTAACTTTGGGGGTGAAAATTGCTTTTTTACCAATTGATTTTCACTCAAAACTGAAAATTGGGTTAAAAACTATTTTAATTGTGCAAACCATGACTAATGAAGGGGCATCTCATATTTATAAATGATATTCCAAATTAGCATTCCATGATAATCAAATCAGAACAAAGCTGTTAGATTTGTTTTTAAGCATAAGGGAAAATTGGATCAGTATCTAGTCTGACCAAGCTAGACTGAAATTGTTACTGGTCTGGTAGCTTTCTCTTCAGCCGAGACATGCTCCATACACCCTGTTAATATCAGACGAGGCTGTGAGCACCTGTCTCTAGGTACCTCATCTTCTCTAACAATGGTAAAATATATCTGATCAGGAGTTCAGAACGCCACACACACGCAATATAATTTACAGTTTTATAGAGCCTTTATCTTTGAAAGGATGTCTCAAAGGGCTTTCACCGTATTCAGTACTACACACCCACACACACATAAGCATTCCTCTTTTATTCAGAACTGGCCTACTTCACGTGTCCCACTTCACCCGCTCCACCACTGGTGGTCAGACTTTCAGAATATCTTCCCCCACTCTCTGGAACACCAACCCGGAGTCCGTTCACCTTGCCCCTTCACTCCTTCAAGGTGACTCAAGACTTTCCTCTTTGACTGGCTGGTCTCCACACCTCCCTCCCCGCCCTCTGGCCTCCAGCTTCTGCTCAGGTGCAAACCTGGGACTATTGGGATATCTTCCCGATGTGAAATGTGCTATATGAATGGAGTCACCCACAAATATACAGTCAATTCACTTTACAGTGTATTCTGTGAAGCGCTTTGAGACGTCTAGAAGGCTTGAAAAGTGCTAGATCAAGTGTATGGATTATTATTATTATATTATAAGTGTGTCTTGTATTAAATGCTTCATAAGTTAGAATTTTACATTTACCCAAGCACTGCAATTGCATTCCCAGAGTGTAAAATGGCATTATCCAATTAGTGGTACTCACTCAAGCACAACCAGTCACTGAAGTCTCCACATTTCTACTTGGTGTTTCATCTTGAGGCCCGCTGTTCAAAGTCTCCACTTCCTCTCGCTTATTCCTTTCTTTGCGTTTCCTGTGAGACCGACTAAGAAGAAGAAAGAGAATCAATCAAGCAATCAATCAGTCGCCCGTAAAAAGTATATTTTCTGAGTGGCAAGTTATTTTATATCAGATATTCCAGATTACAGTACAAACATCTCTAACGATAATCATACCCCCCTGATTTACAAGACTTTTCATCGCTTTTTGAAAATAGCTAGGTTATGATTGCTAATGAGAAGATACGAAAGTACGGATGATACTTAACTGTACACAAATAAATATGATTACTATCAGGATGATGAATATCGCCAGTGCCAAAATCAGGCCGATGATAATGTGATTACGGTCTTCTTTCTGAAATAAGATATCCACCAGCTCACATCTGGAACCAACGAAACCAGATTTGCACCTGGCACAAATAAAAATAAAAATAAATGTGTTATTAAAGATATTGTTAAAGTTGAGGTCAGCTGTACTATGTTGCACACTAAAGATTTGTTTTTATAATCTAGCAATCTGAGCAAAATTTGTATTTGTTATATTTTTCACTTCATGTAGACTTGTTCAAACTTAAAGGACAAGAAGCAATTATATCTAAGAAAATACTATACAATAAAACAGGGCAATCTGTAAGAAATTTTCACTGGTGAGGATTTAAAGGGGTAATTTTATCCCACAGCCAGAAACATTAAAAACAGATTTCTACAGTTTCATGTATTCATGTTTCATGTATTTGTTTCAAACCTTAGGTTAATTGAAATAATACGAACGCAGGGATCTAATAAATAATAATAATAATCCTTGCATTTGATATAGCGCCTTTACGTCTTCTCAACGTCTCAAAGAGCTTCACAGAATAGACTGTAAAGCGACTTGATTGTATATTTGTGGGCAAAACGCGGCAGCCAATTGCACACAGCAGCGTCCCACAAACAGTCGTGGATTGAAGTGACCAATTTATTATTATTGTTTTGTTTTTGAGGGATTATTATTAGGCGTGTGGAGTAAGTAAACTTGCCCAAGGTTTCGCCCTGCCTGGAATTGAACCCAGGTGTCTCGCTTGCAAGACGAGTGCTCTAACCACTGAGCTACAGGACTCCAGTAATACTACAAAGTCTTTGATTATTAAATAATATTCTGTATAATTTGCTGAAAATTCTGTATAAACTGCCTAAACAGTGACCTCTTGGTGACTGCTGATGAAATCAAAATTACCTTTATTAATTTACTGGTGGGAAATTTTGAAATTACTGCTGGGGAATTCCTCGGGGCTAATGGGGATTTTCCCCAACATTTTATATGTTAAAAAATGCCCTGCAGCACAGGAAAACATCAATCTTTTGCTGGTACCTGCTCCTCCAATGGAACTAGATACCCTAAACCGAATTTCTTTCTCCATATTCCTTTAAGACTCACTATTTGTTGTTAACCCATCAGTAAAGCTTTCAGGAACTTTTCTTAGATTAAATAGACAAAATTCACCTTTCTATTAAAATAAATCTGGTCCCAGATATGACATAAGATATCATTTTTGAATGAAATGGTGTCAGTGTGTCTTGGTTATAACATTCAAACCAATTATTGCATTTGGTATAATATCTAGAAATGAGTAGACTTGGGCCATTATCAACAAGTCAATGTACAGTGTTATCATTTTGACATCAATCTTCTTTTGGAATAATTTTATGAACTGGAACTATGGTTCTATGGTAAGAAGACGTTCAAAATTGTGTACTGGGGATAATTTAAACAAGCCTTTGAACCAGTAAAGGACAGTAATTAATGTATCAAAATGTAAGGATAATATTATTAACCCAACATTCCTCTTCAGATGCTGTTTGACCAAAGGAGGATTTTGTGTTTTATTTCAGATTTCCAGCACCCAGAGTTCTTCTTTTCACCTAGAACCATAGAAATTTACAGCACCGAAAGAGGCCATTGGCCCATCATGACTGTGCGGGCTCCACTCCTTGAAATATTTTACCAACCAACATATACTTGCTCTTCTATTTTTCCTTCCAAAATGTATAACCTCATGTTTGTCAGCCTTAAGTTTTGTTTGCCATTTCTCTGCCCAATCAACTAATTGGTCTGTGCCCCAAAATTCCTTACACTCTTTTTCACTGTTAGCTACACTCCCAATTTTTGTGTCATCTGCAAACTTAGATATCGATTCCTGATCATTTGTATGAATGCAGAAAAGCAGTGGTCCTAACACAACCCACTGGGGAACAACACTATTTGCATCACTCCATGGCAAATAATAACCCCACCCTCTGTTTTCTATACTTTACTAACTTTTGATCCAACCTCTGCAAATTCTGTCTGAATTTGGGACCAGAACAAATGTTTATGTGATTGCTGAAAGAATTCAGCTTCAACATCCTTGGAGCCAGTCTAATCTATCAGCAACTAAGATTATGTTGAGACCTTGTACTGAGAATGATATACAAGAATGAAATGCACTGCAAACATGTTTCACGTGAGTAAGCAAAGGGAAAGATCCAAGACATTCGATATATAATTAAACGCTGCTTTTGGCCAGAGACCAAGGAAGAGTCAACTGAGACCATAACAACTGAAGACCTCACACTGACCTCTGGTCTAAGATGTTGTTGGTGACTTGTTGCAAGATAAAAACTTCGTTCAAACTTGTATTTTGAAAATAATACAATCTTTAAAGAACATCTTTGCAGCACTAAAAGATTAGATGAATGACTATGAATTCATGCAAAGCCCATAAACTACAATGTGAACTTTCCCTGATGTGAATGATATCAGGGAGATCCTATTGCCCACAGTGGAAGAAGGGCTCGTGAACAGGCAATGGTAATAATAATAGTAATATTAATAATCCTTGCATTTGAGATAACACCTTATCATGTAATTGAGATGTCTCGAAACACTTCACAGAATATTTTTGTACAGTAGAACTGTATTTTGTGGAAGAAATGCAGCAGCCAACTGCGTACAACAGTGTCTCACATACAGTCATAAATTGAACGACCTAATTTTTTTGGCGGGGTTTAGGAGGAATTAAAACCCCCGGAAAGTGATCCACTAACCTATTCACAACCAGATTCCTATTAACTGCTAGGTAAACAGAGGTGTGTGGAGTAAGGAAACTTACCTAAGATTTTGCCACGCCTGGGAATCCAACTCAAGTCCTCCCTGTTTGCGAAGCAAGCGCACTAACCACTACCCTACAGGACTCCGTACTAATACAATGTGTTCTTAGAGACTGATTCAGGAAGAAAGTGTTGGACATTTCCAAACTTCTCTATCATCCATTTCTATTCAATTAGAGGCCATTTGTAACATTATTTCAAGGTCACAGTTGAAGTTATGTGGAAATTGGTCATTAAGATGTTGTTTTAGATCATTGATTTATTGATTTATTGTGCCCAAACCTTCCATCACAATTCGTCATTTTTTAAACCAATCTTCACTGATACATACAATACCACTTTTTTGTGAAAGTCGAGCAGTAAAACACTATAAAGAAAAACAATACAGCTTTAGTAGGGAAAACCTAGCCTTCTTTGCCAAAGTCCTGAAACGCAATGTTGCAAGCCACCTTCAGTCACACCTCTACCTCCACTCCCTCCTCGAGCCCCTACAGTCTGGTTTTCACCCTGCCCAGCACTTGTCAAAGTCACAAAGGACATTCTCTCTATCTGTGACCAGGGCTTCCTCTACCTCCTCGACCTCCTGGATCTTTCTGCCACGTTCAACACAGTCGACCACGCCATCCTCCTCTATCGGCTCTCCTCCCTCATCCACCTTAGTGGGACCGCACTCACATGGTTCGAGTCCTACTTAACCAACCGCCTCCATTTTATCTCAGCAAATGGTTTCTCCTCCCACCCCCACCCAGTCACCAGCGGGGTACCTCAGGGCTCCATCCTTAGCCCTCTTCTTTTCCTTATCTACCCCCTACCTACCTGCCCGTACCCTCCGTTCCTCTGGCTCTGGTCTGCTCCACGTCCCCCGCCCCAACCGCCCTACCATCGGTGGTCGGGCCTTCAGCCTCTCAGCCCCCAAGCTCTGGAACTCCATCCCCCAGTGCCTTCGCCTTGCTTCCTCCCTTTCCTCCTTCAAGGCCGGTCTCAAAACCTTTCTCTTTGACCGTGCCTTCAGCTCCCCTCTCGACTCTCTTCCCCCTCCTCGCTCCCTCCCTTCCCTCCCCTCACCCTGACCATTTCCCCCTCCTTGCTCCCTCCCTTCCCTCACCCTGACCATTTCCCCCCTCCTCGCTCCCTCCCTTCCCTCCCCTCACCCTGACCATTTCCCCCCTGCTCGGGTCATGACCCAACTGTGCAGCGCCTTGGGACGTCCTCCTGACGTGAAGGGCGCTTTATAAATGGAATCTTGTTGTTGTTGTTGTTGTTATCTACACGCTCCCTCTGGGAGATGTCATCCACAGACACGGGGTCAACTTCCACATGTTTGTGGATGACACACAAATCTACTTTGTTTCCTCCAGTACCAACTCCAGGTCCGCCACACTCCATTTACTCCCTGACACCTCCCTATCTCTCCAACCTCCTCACTCCACAATCCACCGCCCAGCGCCTATGCTCAACTGGCACTGGCCTCTTGCTCATCCCTCGCACCCCCCACCCCACCATCAGAGGTCGTGCTTTCAGCCACTATGCCCAAAACTCTGGAACACTCTTCCTTAATCCCTCCGCCTTGCCCATCTCTCCCCTCTTTCAAGTATCGTCTGAAAACTTCCCTCTTCGATCGTGCTTATGGCCACCTCCCCCTCCCCCTTTCCCCCAGCTCGGAGTTAGGCTCTGCCACTGTTAAGCACTCTAGGACGCTACCTTGTGGAGGGCGCTATATAAGTGCAAGTTGTTTTTCGTTTTGAAAAGATCCTGCCTGACTAACGTCATAAACTTTGGAGGAAGTGACTTCCAAAATTAATATTCTGAATCCAAATGACAATATAATTAGACCTCACAAAATGTAACACACAATGAAATTCCTTTATAAGCAACTGGGGCCTATCATGAGAAATGTGTAAAGAATGTGAACACATAGGTATTGTGAGCCACGTGTAAACCATGTGTAAACAAAAACATGTGCGCAGAATTATTGCTGACTTTGATTGGGCAATTAACCACCAATCCAAAGCATCACAGGTAATTCTGTTTGCACAACTCATTTGATACACACAGGTTTACAGCTCATATAACAGATATCATATGGCAGTCCCTTTAATCGGTTACTGATTCATATACTCAGCTTACCCATACAAAGTAAAATGAGGATATGAATCAGTAACCGATTAAAATGCCCAAAAGCGAGAGTAGTTGTAAGGAGAGCTAGATATAATAGAGGAGAATGATGAAAAAATGTATTCAGCTGAATGTCTTGGGGATCAGTGCAAGAACTCCCTCCTATTCCTTGTGTACATTAACATCCTGAAATCACAGACTCAATTGTAAGACTCAAGGTCACCAACCTAAGGGGGACTGTGGAATCAATGGGGGCAGACAAGATCTTACAATGAACAGCTAACTGAATTCAGAACACCAAAGTCACACTCAAGATTCACTGGTCAGGCACCAATGGGAGTTTTATATGCAATTTATGGCTATAGCACTTTGGGACACCCTCCTGACTTGAAAGACACTATTACTCTCCAACAAAGTATTCCAGTGCAGTTCTATTAACTCCCTCCTCATCCTCTCAATATCTCTGCGCAATCACAGCCTGACGAGGAAGGGTGAAATGACGCTAGGCACTCCAGTATACTTACACACATGAAGGTTGCTGCTCACTCACAAAGAAACGACAGCTTCCTTCAACACAGTAGTTTGTGTATTTTTCTTCACATTTGGTGAAGTGTTCTGACTGGGTCGCTTCTGCAATAAAAAGACCAAAACTTTAAATTTTGGAAGATTGGATTTAGAATGAAAAGGTCAAAGTGAAATAAAGGGGTATTTCACATAATTATAGATTGCCAGTGTAGTCTGAAAAAATAACTGAGCACAGCAATAAATATCAGCCTTTTTATATATACCTTGTATTACTAGCAATATAAGGCAATTACAAAAACAACTTTATTTATAAAGCACCCCTCATAGGATGTAGCGTCTCAAAGGCTGGACTCTACACTAACACCCCAGAGCAGTATCAAGGGTGAGTCTGCTGCATTCTGGAGAAGGCGGGTGGAAGTAAGCAGGTATCTGTTGGTATGGGTGAAGAGATAGATTTAAGAGGATTTTAAAGGCACAGAGAATGAGGTGGAGTAATTTAAGGAGGGAGTTCGAGATGATGGAGGCAGTGTGGCTAAAGATTTGCCTGCTAATGACATGGAGGGAATGAGGAACGGGCAACATGCACAGGTTCAGAGTGGTGAGGGCAAACAGGAATGTGAGGTTGGAGAAGCTCTCAGAGTAGGGAGAGATGAGGCAGTGTGAAGATTTGTAGGTGAGAGTGAGGATTGTGAAATTATCAACTAGGAGACATGAGATGGTGGAGTCTGGTGAGCATGAGATTTTTTGGGGTATGGGAAACTTAAGTGGGATTAGGATGAGCCATCTCAAAACACTGTATTGAAAAATCGAGTGGGAGCCCAAGGTGATAGGGAAATTGAAGGGGGNAAAAAGAGGGGTAGGTTGCCAAAGCCAATCAAAGATATACGATTTTAAAGAATGAGACAGAGAGAGCTTGCACTGTAAGTTTTTGGTTAACACTATAGTCAATTTATATTTTGTTTAATGACTCATTATCAGCACTGCTTCCATATCCACAATGGGGCCTGTCCCAATTAATACAAATATTGGACTCAGCATCATTTTCATCTGCCCCATTTATTTCCCACAGAACATTTTGTTAAATACTTTCACAAATAACAAGCTTAAAGGCGATTTATATTGAATAGAAAGAAAGCAGGCAGTGAATTTTTTCAACCTCAGAGTACTGCTGACATTTAGGAATTGTTTGAGGTCAATTCCTAGGATTTATATCATCACTAGAACTGTTACATATAGCCATGCTCTGACTTAGCAATTATGCTTTATTGTGTTTGTTTCAAAGAACTGAGGCTGAGGTTGATTGATTCTAAAAACTAAAGGGATTGAGGGATATGGGGATAGGGCAGGTAAATGGAATTAGGTTAGAAGATCAGCCATGATCTTATTAAATGGCAGGGCAGGCTCGAGGAACCGAATGGCCTACTTCTGCTCCTACTTCTTGTAGTCTTATGCAACATTGCTATCAATGGATTATTTTGCTTCTATCCAGTCTGGCACTCATTAAAGGCATAGCAATGTAATGAGAACACCGAATGAGATCACTGCTTCCTGTTGATGAACAGGCATCAGGAAAACACTGATAATACATCAAGTCACTACATAAAGAACTAGAGGAATAATGACATCGTTGAATTTGATATAGTGCCTCATCATGTCATCAACACATGTCAAACTGCTTCATGGAAATTGCTGTAAAGTATATTTGTAGGCAAACACAGCAACCAATTTGCACACAGCAATGTCCATGTCCCACAGACGCCATGGAACAAATTACCTTTTTTATTTGCAGGATTGTTGGCTAAGACATCGGGAGAAATTCCCTTCTCTTTTTGAATAGTGTCATGGGATCTTTAACTTCTATCTAAACAGGCAGACAGGATCTCCATTTAACTTCTTATCCAAAGGATTATCATGAGAGAGAAGGGAATGGAGGGGTGAGGGAAGGGGAATTAGGATGGATGGAGGTTCATATATCTATACTAATAAAATGACAATATCTATGTGCGCGTGTGTGTATCAGCCAGGATCTCAATAACCGATTGACGTAGAGACATGATTTATACATCATTGGAAAGGTCTTGCATCTAGAAGTGTCATGGGCATATTTGTTTTGGGGGATCTCCTACTGTTGACGAGCTAAGACCTAGACCAGCTCATCAAATATGTATGGCAATTTTGCGTTTGCACTGCAGTTACACCTAGTGGCTGTGCCGAATCACAGTGGCGCTGTGACATCGTGCATCACAGAGCATGTACGTACGTATGCACGCCCGCAGTACGCACTCAGATGAAGCCAAGCGGCAGAAACAAGATAACCAATAACAACAACGGGAACAAGATAAACAACGACGACAAAGAAATTTAATTTATAAAGCGCCTTTCACTGTGGGAGGACGTCCCAGTGATCATAAATTATAAATTTATATTTATCATTATAAAGATGCCTAAGCGAAGATCAAGCCTTTCAAGGGTAAATAAAAATGCTAGTCAAAAGAGAGAAGGCCGATTAAATGAAACTGAAGAACAAAGAACAGCATGGCTGGACTTCAATGCAGAAAGGCATATGATAAACAACGGTGATGCCAGCAACGTAGGTCAACTGGTCATCTTGCCATCCAGTTGCACTGGGGAGCCATGGTTTATGCACAAAAAAAACTGAATATATTGTGCAATGTGCGAGCATACAGTTGACCTGACCTCACATTCACTTGCAACCATAATTGGGAGGAGATCCAGCAGGAACTGTTGCCTGAACAGAAGCCACAGGACCACCATGAACTCATAACCAGGGTTCTCCACCTCATAAACTGATGGAGCTTATCACCAAAAATCATGTCTTTGGCAAAGTCCGTTGTTACCTTTACACCAGTGAGTAGTAAAAGTGTGATCTTTCCCATGCACATGTTCTGCTGTGGCTCATCAAAAAGGTACGGTCTAACCAAATCGACAATGACATCTCTGCAGAACTGCCAAACCCAGAGTCTTGTGTATATTTGCCCACAAATATACAGTCAATTCACTTTACAGCATATCTCTGTGAAGCGCTTTGGGTCGTCTAGAAGACGTGAAAAGCGCTATATCAAATGCCAGGATTATTATTATTATTATTGTGCTCTTTGAAATCATAAAGAAACACATGGTTCTTGACCCATGTGGACAATTCAACAGAAAATCTCCCTGCATGAAAGATGGCTCCTGCTCAAAGCATATCCGAGGAACTTCCTGCAGGAGACCTGAACAGCTCATGATGGATTCCATGCAGTACTGACAAACAACAAACAACAGGTGGAAGAAGACAACTGTGGGTTTCTCCCATACAATCCATATCTCTCTCAGCTCTTCAACTCTCATATCAATGTCGAGTTTTGCATCTCTGTTAAGAGCATTAAATATGTGTGCAAATATGTAAACAAGGGATGCAATATGGCTGTGATTGGACTTGAGAGAGAGGAAGTCCGAAGAGACGAGGCAACATACAGATGGGCCAATATGTGAGCACCAAAGAAGCAATCTGTAGAACTTTGGGCTTCTACATACATGATCAATATCTCGTGGTCCAACACCTTCAGGTTCACCTTGAAAATGAGCAAAGGGTGTTTTTTTACAGAAGTAAATGTTCGGTACTTCTATTGAAGTCTAGCCCTGTGTCAAGTCCAGTGATGCGCTCAGCAGGGTGTACACAGTGATCCAATCTGGAACGCATTGCCTGAAAGGGTGGTGGAGACCGATTCGATAACTACTTTTAAAAACGCTGTGGACGGGTATTTAAGGAGGATGGGTTTGCAGGGCTATGGGAAGGGCTGGGGAGTGGGATTGACATTACATTGCTCTTCTCAAAGAGTTGGCACAGACTCGATGGGCCGAATGGCCTCTTTTCGTGCTGTACGATTCTATGATTCTATGATATAGCAGAGCACAGAAACAAAGTTTTCCCAAACATTAGCCATAACTATGCAAATCATAAGTGGTTGTGTCCACGAGCAATCCTTGCTCCAAAAAATGAGTCTGCCAACAAGATCAATTCCCAGCTCCTCAATGACATCCCTGGTCAAGAAACTGTGTACAAGTCCATCGATACTGTTCCTGACATTGAAAATGCTGTCAACTACCCAACTGAGCTTTTAAACTCTTTGCAACTATCTGGTATAACTCCACACAAATTCATACTAAAGCATGGATGCATAATCATGCTGCTGAGGAATCTAGATGTACTGAAGCTATGCAATAGCACAAGGTTGGTAGTAAAGCAGTTGATGCCACATGTTATAGAAGCAACTATTCTGACTGGTCAGTTCAAAGGGGAAGTTGTATTCATTCTTTGCATCCCACTGCTCCCAAGTGACTACCTTTTTGAGTTCAAAAAGCTCCAATTCCCTGTTCAAATGTGCTTTGCCATGTCAATTAACAAGGCAGAGGGACAGAGCTTAAAAGTTGCTATCCTTTTCTTGAATGTACCCTGTTTTTCCCATGGACAATTCTATGTTGGATGCTCACGTGTGGGTTCATCTCAAAATCTGTACATCATGGCCGAAGGAGGAAAAACTGCAAATGTTGCCGACACGGAAACCTTGCAATAACTCGAGGACCTGTCGGATCATACAGTAAACCCTTTGGTTAGTGGAGCTTTGATAAGATCTTCTATCGTTCATGAGCTATGACCTAAACAAGCTCATCACACATGTATGCAGTTTTGCTTAAGGTGTACACACAGTGTTTTTGGCATGTTAAATGGTTTGTGAGTAGTATCATTGAAACCTACATTCCATATTGAATCCTTTGGTTGCAAGCATAGCTGCAACGGGTACAGGTAGTATTATATAAAGTACTAGCTGTACCCATTGCAGCTACACTTGCTACCAATGGATCCAATATGGAATGTGGATTGACACGCGGACAGACACACAGACAGACATTTCATCCTTATCGATACTCAACTGCGAGGACTCCTGTGGGAGGACTCATTTTGGCTGTGCTGTTCTTTGAGTGGGCATCTAATTTTTGCATGCTGTTGCAGTCCTTTCAGCATTGAAGTGCAGCCACGCTGTTCTTTCTTCTTCAGTTTCATTTAATGGGCCTTCTCTCTTTTGTATAGGATTTTTACTTAT